AAATATACACAAAGCACAAAGCAACACTAGTTAAAGCAACACTAAAGGGTTTTAACACTTGATGCTATTGCATTTAAACTGGTTTCAGTGGTTCATGATGCCATAAAGTTGAGCAACATCCCATTGGACCTTCTCAGTGGCCTAGTGGTAAAATGTCCACCCTAGGACTGGGAGATTGGGGTTCAAATCCTGGTCGGGTTGTACCAAAACCTTTAAAAATGGCACCCAACGCCTCCCTGCTTGACACTCAGCTTTAAGGGGCTGGATTGGGGTTTAAACCACCAAATAGTTCCTGAGCGCAGCCGCAGCTGCAGCTCACCGCTCTCCATGGGGATGGCTCAAATGCAGAGATGAGTTTTAACCAGCGTGTGATGACTGAAGGGACTTTAGCTCTGTAGCCCTCTGCTGACCAGAACCGTTTCAACAGTTTAACAGTCTGCCTTGTAGCAATAGCTGTTTACTGTGCTGGTGGCTCAGATAATGGCTAGCAGTTAGCTTTTTCAGTGGCTAACTATCAATAAAAAGCTCTAGAAAAAACAAGAATTTAGCTTTCTTTTGCATCATGGTAAGCAAATGTAAGAGAACAATATGTTTGGAGGTGAAGCAAAGAGCTAAACCCAGAGGGAACATCTGCGCGGTCTACACTCGACTGAGGGAGCTAAAGGAGGCTACAGGCGGGGTAGTTTCACCAGTGTGATGATGACTAATGGGACTTTAACTTTAATATTCAAGGATATGGTTATTTATTGCTTCGTTAGTGATGCGTACAAACATGGTAAATCCCAGAAGTGCGGTTTGTAAACACACAGCCAAACATGTTTTATTCTTATTAACGTAGGGTTTATTCCATGGAGTCATGGTCTTATTTACAGTTTGTTTAGAAGCTTAAATGGTTCAACAACAGGTCAGGTCGTTGTTTTACTGGAGCCTGAAGATGCATTTTAATGTGTGCTTTATAGTCCAGTGCATGCTTGGCCATCGGGTCGACCACTGGACCCGAGTAACGTTAATTCTGTCATCTGTACCACACGAACACCTGCCAAGGCCTCAGCGGTCGGCTGCATGCAGCTTGAGCATTTCACTAAACTCCAGAACAAACTGCTGTTAAAAACCAGACACAACAGATCTAATGATAACGTTTTTCCTCACGTGTGAACCGCAGACGAACCAGAGCATCGCCACCAGCTACTGAATCCAGAAACCAGAAACCGATGATTCAAACGCTGCAGCACAGCTGACCCAAAAAAACAGCATGAATATGAATGCAAGTGCAAACGTTGAGGCCTGAGGCCGTTACAATATCCATGTGTTTGACTTATTTTCTTCCTTAATTAATGTTCTCCGTGTTTCCTGTAAGGCAGCATGATCCTGAGTAGGATTATCTCCACGTCTACAGCGTACGGTTCCATTTTTAAGTTTTATACACATCAGCTGAGCTCTTATCAGTTTAAGTTATTGCTTAGCAAACTAAAAGATCAGATAACACCAGCGTTGTTTCAGAGCCACCAATGCTTTGCTGGTGATTTTTCAACTTTAGGCTTGTTCCCACAGCGAGAACTTCCGGGTGTCTCCGTTTCGGTGAGTCGGCCAAACAGGACCACTTTCCGGACCTTCTCAGGGGCCAACTGAATACTTATTATGGGGTATGTAATTGGTAATATGATTATGTTTATGTGTTTAGCAGACGCTTTTGTCCAAAGTGACTTACAAGTGATAATCGGCATGTTGCCCTTGAGGCTAACAACAACAACAACAACAACAACTTGACATCAGTCATGGAGAGGAGGGAACAAGGAGTGGACGGTAGAGAGGGGGGACGGGTGCAGGGAGGGTGCTAGTTTAGAAGATGCTCTCTGAAGAGCAGGGTCTTCAGGAGTTTCTTGAAAATTGAAAAGGAAGCTCCTGTTCTGGTAGTGCTTGGAAGGTCATTCCACATTTGTGGAACGATGCATGAGAAGAGTCTGGATTGTCCTGAGCGTGGTGTAGGCACTGCTAGCCGACCATCCTGTGATGACCGGAGCGGCCGGGCCGAGACGTAAGCCTTTGCAAGAGGATTCAGGTAGATGGGAGCCGTACCATCTCGGCTTTAATAGCCCGGTAGATGCTGGGTGGGGCTTGAGGTGAACTCATGCTGATTGGTTACAACTCAGTAGGAATCCCAGGAGTTATTTCCTCTAATATAGGGCAAAGATGGCTGGAGGCTAACGTAGAGTTAACAATGTAGACGCTCAATTAGAAACAGTCGGCTCAACAAATATCTCGCTATTTTTGAAATTACCAACAACTCTTTATTACAGAGAAATGAATCTAGAATCTAGAGTCGTCTAGAATCTTCTGGCCTTGAACCATATCTGGCAGCAGCCGTGACACTCATGGGTTTCACTCATGGAGTGAAATAGTGACCAGTGCTGTCACTAAACCACCGATCATAGGAATATTATTTCGACTTCGTTCGTACGTAAAGCACTTTTAGAAATGCCGTTTCCAACCTCCCAACGCTGACGAATGCAGAAAAAGTCACTCAACAGCGCCGTCATTCACGCAGTTTTCTGCTCTTCTACAGAGTGCCTTACAAACGGCTATTCTTCTGGTCATTGAATGCAGCTTTTTAATCACATGGCCACCAATTACAGCACAGCTTGATAGAATAAAACTTCTGATGTCATAAATGTACATGCATGCCGTTTGGAGCTGATCAGTAATGCTGACACAGTCTCTGTTACGTACCCTATCTGGAGCCCTTTTGCCTTCCTGTTGGATCCGCTTGGGTTGCTACGCAATGGGCCCACAACCTCGGGGTGGACCGCTGAAACCTGTCTCCACCGCAGCTGCGGGGGATGCTTCGGCCATCGGATGAGGAGAGCTGTTTAGATCAGTGAGCAGCCTCTCCCTCGCTGGGTTGTTGGCTTGTTTTGGCTTTGTGATTTGTGAAAGCTAATTTAGCCTAGCACCTGCGGTAGCTAACTGTGTTGTACCTTGCTGGTTGAAACTACTTTAAGATAAGCTGTGGTAGTTTTATGTTACAATTTTAGCGGTTTGTACAGTTATAGTTGTGGTGACAAGCATCTGGGATGTCTTTAGTTATATTTATCTTTACTTTCCCATTCCCCAAGAGTTGTGTTTGTGTGGTTTTGTTAGATTCACGGCTTTGGGGATGGTTGTGTTGCTGTGGTTTTGTTTTATTTGAAATAAACCTGATTATTATTGTTACACCTGCAGATGTGGTTTTAAGGCTTTCACCATCGAGCCCAACATCCTTATGGTGGGTTGTAACGGTCTCGGCACGCTGACATCTTACCAACGTCTCAAAAAGGACGATTTTGTACAGAAACGATGGCTGAGAATGACCGAACAACCGTTTTTTCCCCGTCACCTTCCCCCGCTACCAGAAACTTCCCAGAACTCCTTGGTGAAAACACGGCTTTGGTTTAGTTTAAGACACAATAACTGAAACAAACAGTCCTGCGGCCGACAGAAGTGTCCCTGCATCCCCGAGTGAGCAATAATCCAGGGGCGATCATTTGTAACAGCGTTCATCTGGCGCTGCTACTATAAACCGGTGGTGTTAGCACACTGCTCTACCTTTATTGACCTATTTAGGAGCTCTCCTCCTTTCTAGCACCTTCCTAAAACGGTCACGACGACACACACACACGCACACACACACCTATTTGTCTCTTTCTACCCACCAATCATCTACTACTCCTGACACGTTCCATTCATCTCCCCTCCCACCGTTCTCTCTCTACCTCCCTGCATCGCTCCTCTGTATCACGGACTACATCCATCCATCTTGTTTTCTTTGCTCTCTGCCCTTCTACCACTCCTCCCTCCTCTCTCACTTCTCTATCTGTTCTTTACACTCGGAGTCTCCGTCTCTCTGTCTGCCAGCTTTCTTTACTGAGCTTTAATTGGCTCCCTGGAGGAAGTGGAAACGCTGTCTTCTGATTACACACAAACACACTTTTAGTGGGAAGGTAACCAATTATCTTATTGTTGCTCTCATCTTCATAGGCACACGAACACACAGAAGTATATTTTAAACCAGAAGTCACTGTAGATTTCTGGAGGTGACTTCTATGCTTCCATGCATGCGTCTGTGTGAACAGGAAGGTAACTCGTCACATTGATCTGGTGCTCCAAACAGCGCTCTTCGGGTCTTCTCTCGTTTAGCAGAATCCATGTTGGTTTGGGAATCGGGTTTTGTTTGTGGTGGTGTGAAGGCTTTGAACATCGTCTGGGACAGTTCAGGGTCAAAGTCACCGACAACCGCCACGGACCGGCCAACTCATCAACACCGCCAGTCCATGTGTGCATCACATTTAAACAAGAAAATAAAACACGAGTTTAGAGCATGCACACACACACACACACACACACACATCCCAAGAGGAGATGGAGAGCAAGTGGAGCAGGGAAGTGACATATGGGTAGTCAGACGGAGGTATACTAGGATGGAGGGAATCCAGCAGTGAAAGTGTTAATATCACCCAGTGAGGGGAAACATGGATCTGACACGCCTGCTGGCTGGAACACACACACACACACACACACACACACACACACACACACACACACACACACACACACACACACACACACACACACACACACACACACACACACACACACACCCTAAATGACAGAGTTATAAAGAAACTGAACCTCAACGTTAAGATCAGCTGATTAGCGCTAGCACGTGTTTAGCTTGGGCGGCATAGAGACACGGTGAAACCCCTCTCACTTGTGTGTCGCTGTGAGCACCAGACAGTGGCACATATGCTGTGCTAAATCCTAACACACGTGCACATACACACAACCACACTCACACAAGCAGCGCGTTGACCTCGGGGGTCAAGGCTGGGACGGTTGGCAGCCAAAAGGCTCGCAGCCTGCTGACGCCCTTGGCGGACAGAGAGGACAGTGACGGGGGCGCGACCTGCTTCCTGATTAACGAACACACATTTAACAAAACACCGTTTCATTTCCAAAAGAACAGAGTGCAGCAGGGCCGAACCTTCGGGATTGCAAATATTAGCCAGTATGAGTCTGACTTTAAAACAACGTCAGCAGAAATACGTTAGTTCTGCAGTGAACTGCATCTCCTGCTAAAATAAAACCATGTTCTGCCGTACTTATAGCTGCTTGTAACTGTACTGATATATTTATCTATAATAATGTTTATATTTATGCAGAAATAAGGGATGTCCACTATTATCGGCTGATACTGGCATCCAAATGAGAAACTGGACATCATCAGTACTGGTTTTTACTCTTAATGACACAACTCTTACACACCAAGCACATATTATGCATCAAACTCTTCTTCTCGCTCAAAATGTCAGAATATGGCAGGTCTGACGTTAGATGGTAAACGGCCTGTACCTGTACAGCGCCTTCTTAGGTCCTAAAGCCCCCCAAGGCGCTTCACAACACAATCAGCCATTCACCCATTCACATGCCAGTGGGGATGAGCTACGATGTAGCCACAGCTGCCCTGGGGCGACATGACAGAGGCGAGGCTGCTGAACACAGGCGCCACCGGTCCCTCCGACCACCAGCAGCGGGCAAGGCGGGTTAAGTCTTGCCCAAGGACCCAACAGCACCATTCTCTGGTTGGAGCCGGGATCAGACCAGCAACCTTCTGATTACTGGACAACCTGCTCTACCTCCTGATCTACGGCTGTCTCTTTTTAGCTTTTGAGATTTGTTTTGTGTGTTCGGCACAAGCGGCCCAACCTAAACTAGTTTAGATCTCAAGTATGAGTGATGGGAGATCCGTGATGCTAGCTACCTAAAATGAGTTTGCTTTTCTTTTTCATCATGAGGGCACCCTGTAAATATTGGTTTATGTCGGTATTGGACATTAAGAGTTAGACTACATCTGTTATCTGTAAAACAGTCGATATTGGACATCACTAGCATGAACACATGTTGGGGTGAGGGTTATGAACGTGGTGCAGGAAGAGCCAAACCAAAATATAGAACTAAAACAAAGATGAAAGGCAGCAAACAGTTTTTGTGATCATTTCTGAAGAGTCAACCTTCTCTGTAGTCCGTGAGGTGAAAGGTCAAGAGCCCCCCCCCACGACCATGACTGGCAGCACGCACAAACCAAAGAGTTTCTCTACACTCCAAAAACCAGCGGTCCCTACGTGGTCTTAGTCAAGTCCTTAGCTAAAAGAGCAGGAACTGTAAAGTAGTTTGAGTCTGATCTCCCCAACATCTCATATCTGACGTTAGAGTTTGTTTTACACGAGGGTGAAGACAGTTTGAGCCAAGATGAGTGGAGACGATCTGCTCGTACCCCTCCTCATCTTTCCAGATGGCAGCCTGGTGACTGACACTTAGGCTGATGCCTGCAAATGTTTCTCCACTCTTCCTGCATGTCAATGTAAGCCTGTGTGTGTGTGTGTGTGTGTGTGTGTGTGTGTGTGTGTGTGTGTGTGTGTGTGTGTGTGTGTGTGTGTGTGCGTGTGTGTGTGTGTGTGTGTGTGTATTGTAAACCGCCAGTCACACAGGCTGTGCTAAATGTTAAACGTTTCAGGGCTCAGAGAGAGAGACAGACAGCTTTCTGCTGGGCTGTCAGAATCACAAAAGGCTCAGAGGGCCCGTGAGTGAGTTTGTGCACGACTGTGAGGAGAGGATAAAGCAGCTATATATAAATTATTTTGATGGTATGTTCTTGTATTTGTGGGGCCCTTTGTGTTTATATGCTTTGTGACTAACTTTGCATGATAAATGAATCACTAAGAGCTGCAAACGGGCTTTGGGCTTTGAAACTGATTTTATATCAACACACTCGTAAACTGTCGGTGTGTGTGTGCTCAGGCGCTGAGAATGTGAACTTGGGAGGGAAATCCACAAAGCTAAACTAGTATAAATAATCATTTATATAAATACACACACACACACACACACACACACACACATATACATCTTTCCTCAGATTATAACACTATCCATCAGCACCTGTAGAAACAAATCTCACCCACAAACCACTGATGATCTAAAGCAGCATTTGGCTAAATTGCGAGAGCAGATTTAATCAGCTACAGAAAGAGTGGTTTCCCACGAAGGCCTGGTTCACACGCACACATGAGAAACCCCACGGTTCATTTAAAATTCACAGAAAACCACCGCTTTGGGCCTACAGTGCATGGCGTCTGGAGAGCCGGCTAACGCTACACCCAGCAAAACCGACTTCACACGCGGACGTTTCCTGATCAGACAGCAAATCTTACAACATCAAATGTTACTTCAGAGAAAACAAACATGCCTGAAAGCGAGTTTCCGTTGCTTTGCTTTCTGATTGGCTCAACGTCACAGTGAACAAGCAGCATGCCCATTAGTCCTTGGAAATCAGACCAAGGCAATCAAACATGTTTGAAAGCCCTGGTTTATTATTGGAACGGTCCCAATGTGCTTCAGATGCAGACCAGAACGCTCTCAACACACCACAAAATGTAGGATTATCTGATAAGATTATCTTTGGAGCCA